ACACACACCACTGAGTCGCCTTCGCTGCACCATTTCAGCGCCGTCACATCAGCAGCCTCTGATTGGTTTGTTGCATCTCTCAGCTGCACCATCTGGCCTTCGTGTCATCGCCTTTCGTTGCCGATGGAGTGGCGCGGCGCTGCTTCACCATCGCTAATCACAGAGCATGTGTGCTTCCATACTGCCCCCCGATGGCCTGCCCATGTTTCCTAACCAGGAGCTGTCAGCTCAGAGCACAACCAGACCTCTGGTTACTCAGCAGGTGATGGGAAATGAATACATAGTAAAGGAACGATGTCACAAACTTGAATAAACATAAATATTTTGGCATTAATAATCCACACAAGTTTTCAATGCATGATGTTTCCTCGTTATATTGGTGGTGCCACCAGGAGGCCCCTGGTTGTAAGACTGTGCCGTCACACACAAAGGAAAAAAACTTCTCTCATGACAGAGAACAAGAGTGTGCATGCTTGAGCGTGTCAGGTCGATGTGGGCGGGAGCAGTGTAGCTGCGCCTTTGCTGCCCATCTACACGGACTCATGCAGCTGTGCTTCGTGTAGCCGTAGTGTGACTGTGCTCTTTAGTGTTTTATAGGTGGGGTGTGTTTAGATGGGATATAAATAGACGATTGGATCGGTGAACTGTAAGAAACGTACATTACAGTGTATGAAACAGCCAGGACATCAGTGAGCTGGAAGGAGCCTCACACGCTGTGCAAGGGTGAAGCAAGCCCACACACACCACCAGCTCGGCCTGCCTGCATGTTTGTTTTCCTTCAGCTGATCATTTCTGGTCAATCGAGCCGTTCATCTGCATAAGCGGAAGACGAGGCGGGGGCGGGTCAGCGTCACTCAGTCTGACTTCCTGTCTGCCCCGCCGTCACAAAAAGCAGATTAATGAGCAGTGCATGTGCAGCAAGCACTCGTCATCAGTAGCTGTTAGGAGCAGACAGAGGCGCAGCTTCATCTGTCGTACGCGTCCCGGTTTACTTTGTGGAAGGGATCGTCTAATTTCTCCAACTCTTCCCTCTTTCCTCCAGGATTCGGACTCCCCGCGCCACTCCACGGCCTCCAACAGCTCCACCTTCAGCAGCCCTCCCAGCCCGGCCTCCCCACACAAGACCAAGTCCCTGTCCTTGGAGAGCACAGAAAGGATGGGCTGGGACACATGAGCCCCCAGCGGTCCATCCGACCCCCCTCACCCACCCACCGACTGACCCATCAACGACCCACCCACCGACAGCACAGGACTCCAAATTCTCCAACTCTTCCTTTTTTGAATATTGTTCCCTCACTGCCCAGAGAACTGCACCTCCTGCCCACCACTCCCTCCCAAAGAAGATTTGTCCCACTTTACCCCCCCGCACTGTGTCTCAGCGTTCTTCCACAGTGGGGCCGAAACACTTGCTAGACAGCGAGGGACAAGCTATCAAATGCTATCAGTGGTGTACATGTGGGTGCTGATGTTTGGCTTGTGTGTGTGTGAGTGTGAGAGAGAAGGTGTGTGTGATGTCGGGCAGGTGATGCAGGAACAGGAAGCTCCCATTTTGGCTCTTTTTGGTCAACTTGTCGAGATTCACTGAGAGACTCTTAAAAAGTCACGATGCAATCCAAAAAGAAGATGAAATATTATTGAGAGCAGAAGGTTTGTACTTGTACATAGGACCCGCCGGGATTCAGGGGACAGTGTTTTAATTTATTTATCAATCATAGACGAGGAAAGGGGCTCTGCTGCTTTGTGGCCGAAGCAGACGGGTGGAGTTACCCCCCCCCCCCCCCCCCCCCACCTGCTTTCTCTCTGGGTGCTGCAAAAAGATAAAAAAAGGAATTACTTTTATTTTTTGCTCCTGATACTAAGTGCAGCGACTTTATAACATTTTTAATTTCCACCATCAGCAAAAAGCTCCAACAGCGGCTCCTGTGACATCACACGACAAACTCATTCGGTTCCCCAGAGCGAACGACATCATCAGGGGTGAGCGTCCTCCGTCGTGGACGCTCCACGTTGTCCAGCCAAAACTCCCGACACAGTCATGTACATAGGTTCAGAGTAGAGAGTAATATATGATAAGGAAAATACTATAGAGAACTACACGGGGCGGAAAACTCCTCCTTTATTTTCCCGCTTTTGTTTGGAGTGATTCCGGGTTGTTTCGCACTCGAAGCCATTTTAAAACCACTTATTTTGTTTTTACTGATTTATTTTAGATTTGTTTGTTTTCATGTTGTTTCTATGACGTGTGCGCATCCCTCCCCTCCACTTCATATGAGTGGGGGAAAAAAAGCTGACTTGTGTATCGGCACTGCTGCCTGTACGCAGACGCACACACACACACACACACACACACACACAGGCGGTTGTTGCCTTGTTGTGCTCCTCTGACTGTTGGCGGTGTTTGAAAGGTCGCTGAGATGAGCTCTGTTTCACCAAATACGGACACAACAGGGAGGCGCCGCGACTTTGCTCGTTCCAACCAACGTTTTAATGACTCGTGAAAATTTGTAAGAGGGATTAAAAAAAACGAGAATGTAAACAGTGCGAGGAAGTCACACCTGGGTTTGTGTTCTGGAGGCGATGGAGTAAATGACCTCTGCCTGTTGTTGTTGTGTGACCTGAACAGGGCCGGAGCTCTGAGCCGCCTCCACGGCACTACTTTACTCTACTTTACTTTTCCTTTGTCAGTGGAAAGGCCTTTAAAAAAATAGAAGGAGGGGGAAACGGTGTGGCAGCTTCTGGCTGCAGAGCAGGGCATTCACAGCCAAAAACCTGTTACCTCTGTTCATCTCCTGTAGGCATTTTGACCCGAGGGACACGGCGGCGTGGCATCAAAGAACCCACAGAGGGTTTGAGCCTCGCTCCACATGATTCCACTCGTCCTGTTTGTCAGAAAGGGAAAACTCTTCAGTGGTCATTCCCCCGTGGAAACACAGCAAAGAGCTGCAAACGGCTCATTCCAGGTGTTCTTATTTTTATTATCTTTTAATTTGAAGAGAGGTTTAGAGCTCCCAGCTGGTTTTACTCCAAATATCTTAGAACTTTTTTTAAGCTAGTGACTCCTTCGTTCCTGCGACGAGTTCATCTGCAGAACGACGAGCCGGTGTATGAGGTGTTAGCCAGGCGGCATCGGTTTTTCATTTTTGGCCAATACTGTGCAGAAAATCTGATCCTAGATGTCCCGGTTCAAAGAGAGCAAGAAGGGGAAACTCAGGAAACAAATTTTCAGTCAGATGAGCGCGATCGAGGTGCGTTTGATTCATTTGATGGATGGGCAGCAGTAAGTGAGGGAATGTGACCCGGGTGGAGGCGGCCGTGAGTATTGGGTGACAGGTGGCTTCATGGCCGAAGTGCCGCAATTTAAAGAAATGGAAACGCCTTTACATTTCAGTGAGGTCTTATCTCCAGTACCTTCTATATTGTTTTGCTCTTTCATATCATATTCCACTTTGTTTTCTAGGATTGCTTTGTAATAATTTGTACAGTTTTGCATGTTATAGATGTAATCATTTGTTTTCGGTTTGTCGTTTTATTCTTTTTGGAGCGGTTTGGGTGTTTTACTGAGGATAACCCACTACAGCTGATGTAGATTCTTTTTTTGCACAAAAATATTTAAGGTGTAAGGTCAAAACAAAAATAATGTATGGAAGCGGCTGCCACACTTACGTGGAGAACTCATTATATTAACCTGACTCCGATGTATTTCAATAAAGCGGAGGGCTGTTACAAATACACTCAGTGTTACCGTGTGCTCATTTCTCCTCAGGAAACATCAGAAGCTTTTGATTGTTTTGAAACTTTATTACAAATGACCAACAGGAATTCACTTTTTACATCTATGAACATGTTTTGCCTCTGGAGGAAACGTTGCTCTAACTTTAGTAAGGACACATTTGCAAACAGGACGGAGTAAATCTGCTCAAAGCGAACGTGTTCGGACGGAAAGGGAAGGTAAGCTGTGTTCAGGTGTCCGTACAGCTCCATGAAGGTCGCTGGTGATCTGCTTGAGGTCGTTGAATCTGTGCTTCATCACCTCTGTTGGGTTTGTTCTCTTCGCAGTCATAAGGCAGGAGTTTAGATTCAGCATGTTTACTCTGGATTTCAGCCCTTGGGTTTAAAACAGCAAAGCACAGACTGACATGATTTCCTTGTATCGTTCCAAACATTATTGCACAGGTGCAATAAAACACTCACTCAAATCCAGCTTTTAAAATGAGGCGAGGCTTCTAGAAAGTTCAGCAGACTTAAAATGCCTTCGTGTGCAGAATAGCAGGTTCAGATTCAGCAGAGATCTACAAGCTGTGGATGGATCTGAGAACTTTCATTCAGTCGTTTCATCCTCACTGAAACCAGTTCTTTCAGTTCTTCTCCATTTAGGCCAGTCTTCTCCTGATTGGCTGCCCCTCATAAACAGAAGAAAACCTGGAACAAGGGTAATAAATCTAAGCCCCACCCCCACCCCAAAAACCTCCCAAACACTAAAGACTAGAGGACGGAGCTCCAAATGTCTCGTGTCCATCATCGAAGTCCTTTTATACAAAGTAAGCTGCGTCGTGCGGTCGGTCACATTTAGTTGTCTGGCTCAGTCGTCGTTCCCCGACTGGGTGGAGTTTAAAAACTGTGCTAAGATTCACACTGGAGGCTACGTCATAAAGCTGTGAGGATGTTTAAGGCAAAGATTTCTGTCCCGTGCCCCCCCCCCCTCTGTAACCAGACTGTCACTAAGCTGATGCAGCATTTGTTTCATCGATATTTCAGCTCTGAGCTCCCAAACCCATCACAGTAGCTGCTCGTCAACATTCTCCTCCTCAGACTCCACCCCTTCAGGCGGTCGCTCCATCCTCCTCCAGGACTCTGTGGATCCCGTTTCTGGGCACGCCGAGAACCGCCGTGGCCCCGCTGCTCAGGTCCCTGATGCTGCTGTGGCGCGACTGGTTCTCGAGCCTCTGGGCGGAGCCGTGCCGCGACAGGCTGTCGAGGTGATTGGTGCTGCAGTGCCTGGACTGTGATTGGTGGTTTAGACGAGGCAGGCTCCCATATGGCAGCCGCTCGTCTGCGGCTCTGAAACTGGAGGCCGTGTATCTAAATGGAGAGGAGCAGAAATGAGCCTCGGGGCTGTGCGGGTGGGCGGGGTTAATGAAAGACCGCGATGTCAGAACCTACCTGCCATCTCGCGAGCGGTGCAGGCTGCCGTGGTAGCTGCTCATCTTGGAGCGGTCGCTGCGCACGGAGCCGGCTCGGCTGGTGCTGGCGCTCGGCGGCTCGTCCAGCATGGCCAGGTGGGTGGAAGAGGCGTGGGTGGAGGTCCCTTGCGTGGATGTGCCCCGTGACTTCCTCACAATGGGGGTGTTGGGATCCCTGAGGAGCAGCTGGGTGAAGTCGGGCTCCTGGAGCACTTGTCGGCTATCGTTGACCATCCTGCTGCAGCAGGTGGAGGAAGAGGAGGAGGGGAGAGGTGGCAGGGAAAGATGCAGGGTGGAAGGGAGGGAGAGGGGGAAGGTGGAGGGGCGGTGGGTGTGGTAGAAGAGGATTGAGGAATGTGTGGAGCAGGCAACGGGAGAGGGGGTTAATGCTCTGTTTGGAGGGGAAGTGGTGCAGAGGAGGTGAAAGCCTCAGAAGGCGTCACTGTTCACATTAAGCTCTGCGCTCACCTGCAGGTCCTCACATCAGGCTTAATGATACGTGTGTGAGACAGGTGCACACTCTGCATTTATAATGTGATAACTAAGCAAACGTGTTTTTATTTGTTATTTTGGGACCATGTGTGAGGAGCTGCCCTGAAACAACCGCGCTCCCATCAGCTGCTGTACACGCGCAACACAAAAGAAATGAAATCCAGGTCTCCTTAAAATAATATTTGAATCAGTATATGTGGAAACATTTCAGTTTGCCAAGCTGTAAAATGTTTGAACTGTAAATGTGTTTCGGGAAGAGAACGCGAGTCCTTGTTTAGTGTCTCCATTGACTACAGAACAGATTAGGAAGAGACAGGAAGTCCACATTTACAGCAAACTGCAGTCTGCGGTCTATCTGCACGATGTGTTGTTTCCCCAATATTAGTCTCTCTTTACTGGTAAATCTATAATTAAATTCTCATTTATCAAGTCCTGAATAATCAGATCTTATAACACCAAATGATGCTGATGGAGCACTTTGGTCTCAGGCTGCTGGGTTACTTCTGCTTCCTTTTTAAAAGTAGAATGAGAACTGGAGCCTTCAGCTTTCAGGCCCCTCGTCTGTGGAACCAGCTCCCAGTTTGGGTGTAGCAAACCCCCCCCCCCCCAGGGCTGGACCAGCAGATGCTGCCATCGGTCCAGCCTGCTGAGACTCCCCATGTGTTGTCTTCTTGCTCCTGTAGTTGCTCATCACTGCCACAGATGGCCCCGCCCCTCCCTGAGCGTGGTTGTACTGAAGGCTTCTTCCTGTTAAAACGAGTTCTTCCTCCCTACTGTTGCCACCTGCTTGTTCACAAAAGCTGTGTCCCAATTCAGGGTCTGCACACTTGAAGTACGCGCACTACGTACTATAAGTACGAGAAGTGCGGAAGTGAGAGGCTTGTGAAATGGGACGGTATACGCTTCGTCGCGCTGTTCAGGTTGCCTAGCAACCACGATACTAACCGCAAGACGCGTTACATACAGCTTTGTGTGACAGAAATGAAGGAGAAACATGTTTTGTTGGTCATTCATTTTTGTCATGACATCACTTTGATTAGCTGAGTATCTGAGGCTGAGACCACAGGACTGTAAACATGATTGTTGGGCTGAACAGTCATTTGAGATTAGCTAGTAAATAACAATTAGTTAATGTTGTTCATGTTCACTAAAGCCATCTCACTGTGGTGATGCCAGATTATTATGATTAGAGAGAGAGGCTCCATCTTATTAGGGAAAGTCCACATACATAAATGTAAATTTCAAAACTCAACCCCATCATTTAATTTGTTTTTGATTGAAACTGAATATTACTTACACTCTCTTACATTAACTTCCAATAAAAAAGGTTTATCATTGATTGAAATTCATTCAGAAATGTTTAACGACTGAGCTGTCACAACTTTCAAGTACAAAGTTGTTGTGAAGTCTGTCACATCCCCCCTTTTTTCTTTTTTATCCTTTATTTATTTCTCCTTCTTATTTCATTGTGCTGTATATTGTTACTCATATTTGCCTTGTATGTCTACTGTACAAACTGAACTGGAATGACTGACTGTTCGCTTTATGTTCAATAAAGTTTGGAAAAAACCTCTTCGGCCGCTCCCTTCTGCCGTATTTTGCAGCAAAATAATCCACACCCACCGCCGTGCTATGAATTGTGGGATATATGGGACCACGAAGCGTGCACCGGACCACGCTTGATATTTGGGGAGATCGACGGCGCATTTGGAGCATGCATTTGAAGTACACTTTGAATTGGGACAGCCGTCGTCACGTGGCGGTGATGTAACCGCACTTAAAATGCGTACTTCAAGCGTGCAGACTCTGAATTGGGACACAGCCAAAGACGGCCTGATTGTTGACCATTCATTTGCTTTGAAGAGGATTTTGAGAACATACGGGAGCTGATGTTGCTGCCCTGTGTGTCTCATTCAAACTACACTCGGATACTTTTTCAAATTATTATTTCATTATTTTGCCATCCACAGCTCTGAAGTTAAAACTAAATCTGATGATCACCACAGAGAGATGAAGCGCTTTGAGTTGTAAATACTGGGACAAACCTCATGTAAGCTTATTTATATTTAGCAAAATCAGTTTGAAGCCACAAAGACGCCGTCACAGTGTGACACATACGTACTCTTTACGTCTCTTGCCGTGGAAGAAACTGGCCCACTCGAAGCAGGTCTTCTTACTGCCCACCCAGAACACAGAGGGGATTCCTACAATCAGCATCATCAGGTACTTTATGAGGAACAACACCAGGTCGGGGTGACTGGTCTGCTCCACCTGGAACAAACAGAAGAGGGTGGAGTTAGTGCAGTGATCCCCCCTCCGTGCCTTCACAGGTTTCCTCCTGCAGTTCCCGTTAGATTAGTGACTCTATCGGCTCAGGTTTGTAAAGCACTTAATACAATTTATGGTCTTACTGTAACACAGAAGTAAAAAAAATATATCATGTACATCAT